TCCCACTTCTGACAGATTTTTAGCAATTTCACTCCTGAAACTGTTTTATGTATCATACCATGTAGAAGTCAAACACATTCTTCAATTAGATTTATTCGACATCTTACTTCATTTAACGAGTCATTCATGTTTCCTGAGCCCAAGTGCCTCACCGCTGTTATATCCATAATTCCACAAAGGTCAACGTTGTTGCCCTGTTTTACATTCCCCCTCTCAGCGATTCTAAAAACGACTTGGTTGTACTAGTCCATATTGTAATTATACATTGTACTTTTAGTATATTTTAAAGAGGGAGGGTCGTCACCTGCGCACGCGCGGGAATTGAGTCCCAAGCGACGATATCAACACACGCTAATAACGCAAAGGCTCAAGGGTGGACGCTTGTTTGTAAAACAAGGACACGCTCTGGCCATCTGACGCATGCGCAGGCGACGACACCCTCGCTTTAGCATTCGAGGCGCAGGCAACAAGTCTGATTCTGATCTCTAGTATTTTATCGTCATCGTTCTGTGACAGACAAACTATTCTAGTTTCAGATGAACAACTACAAACCTTTTGTCAATGTGTGCGGTATACGACATCCTTGTAATATGCAACTATGTAGTTTGGATATACTAGAAGGTGGCTCTACTTTGAACGGCAGCTCACCGGTCAACATGGCGTACATATTAACACCACTAGAAATAAAACAACGAATATGAAAGCATTATTTTTCATCTTAATTAACGTGGTTTTTTAGTTTCACAATTGAAAATAGATTTCACATTGAGTTGTAAAGTGATGTTTTGTATAGGCGGATGTAACTCGCGGATATGACGTGATACGGACGGATGTGACGTAACTCACGGATATGACGTAACATACAAAATACTCACATGCTCCAGACGTCGACTGCGGGCCCGTATGTGGCATTGCTGAATATCTCCGGTGCCGCGTACGCTGGTGAGCCGCACTGTGTTCGCAGTACACCGTCAGAACTAAGCATGTTACTTAAACCAAAATCTGGGAATAAATATAATTAATGCAAATGAGCGAATGTTAGAATGTCTTGTTACGATAATGATGACGCCATCACACTGCGTTAAATTGTTTTAACTAACCTATTATTTTAAGATTCAAATCTTTGTCCATGAGAAAGTTTTCAACCTTGATATCCCTGAAACAAAATGACAAGGAATATTTTTTTTTATATTTGGCAGCTGATATTTGGTATTATATTTGCCAGAGATTATTAGATAATATCATTTAATTGTACCCAGTCACGGTGCATGCGCAGTGGTGTCAGAAAATGTTTATGTTTTGTACTGTAACTCTCCTTCTGTGAAGTTTACGAAATGTTCGTAAATATGACAAACATATATTTATTCGCACGTAGACACAATAAATTAGGACAAAACTAATTATGTGATGCACATTCAACTTGTGAAAAAAATGAAGTAAACTGGCACACGAACGACTGATTTTACTAATAGGAGTGACTCCCTTCCCCCACTCAGTAGCTTACCGCCCAATGTGTTCCTTTTGTTTTATTTACAAAATGTTTACAACTGAACGGAATACTATTTCCCGCCCAAATTGTGTTGTAATATTTTGCAAATTTGTAAGTATTTGCTCATAACGTAGTTGAAATGTAAGCATAATTTCTCACCGGCTACAGGTCTTCGTCATTTTTTTCGAAGAAAAAATACAGAAAAAGTTACGTGGGGTTATTTTACGACAGACGACAAAATCAAAACTGCCTACCTGTGAATAACGCCAGCTTGGTGCATGTGATCAACTGCAGAAACCAACTGTCGCATAAACTTCCGGCTCTCCCTCTCTGTAAACCTTTGTTTATCGCACAGATATTTCATGAGTTCTCCACCGTCTGCAAGCTCCAATATCAGATAATAATTATTACTTGTCTCGAGAACTTCGTAAAGCTGCACGATGTTTGGATGTTTCAGTCTTTGCAGCATGACTGCTTCCCGGTGAAGGTTTCGCTTTGTGTATTCCCGCTTCTCGATTAGTTTCTTGTCGATTACTTTAATTGCAACCTGGTAAAAAAAGAAAAGGAAATGTATTTGCACAAGCGGCCGCTAGATGGCGGTATATTTGGTATATATATATATATATATATATTTACAATGTTTCCGTACTTCTAGTATAATGTATTATAATGTAGTATAATGTATAATTGATCACATTTTATACAATGATGTTATTGTTTTTATTACGATGTCACCTGTTTTTAATATAATAGCATCGCTTCCCGATCATCTAGGTAAAAACCGTTACAGTTTTTTCCTCCCTGACCAATCGATAACCGGAAAAGTGTTTAAAAATTAACCGGAGGATCGGTATATTTGTTCCGTTTCGAGACCGCTGGTCCAAATGAAAGCACGGAGAAAGTCATAGTGCGATTCAAGAATAACTAACTAATAACTAAAATAAATGATACGACTCAAAATTTTCAACACAGTACGTGGAAGTGTTATTTTGACCCCCTTTCCCTCTATGGACTACATGTCATTATTTCAAACCAATGTGCATTCCAAATATTGGCTATGATGGATAACTTGGCAACACGTCTCTTCGAATATAAGTGTCTCACGTCATTTGGACAGCGCCGCCAGTGGTAATAGAAACTCCAATGAAGTCACGGAAAGCATGTTTCGACAGCCATCAGAGTTCAGTCAAGTACGTAAAATCGACACAAATGTTTCTTTTCAAAACTACTTGGTCTTTTCATTGCCGAATAAACCATTCCAAATAAACTCGCCTGAATGCATCCATTGTACGGCGTGTTTTTTTTATTTATTAGATGTTTAGAAAAGACTGTTAACACAGTCATTGAAGTTTACAGCCGTGTAATAGCTGAATAACCGTCACGTCCGAGAGGCACTTTTGAAACGTCTCAGAACGAGACGGATTTCAATAGCTCAGCTGACCCGTGAAATGAACGTCAATTTAGATGGCGGTGACGAAAGAACAAGTACGGACGTTGCATGTATTAAAAAAGTCATTGTTTCCGTAATTTCTAGAGTAGAAGTTGGTAAACAAACACAATATGGACATAACACGTATCACATCACATACTATAAAACCATTTATTTGCACTGGCTTTTATTAGTCCCCGTTCGGACGAAGTCCGAAAACGGGGACTTATAATTCGGTCTCCGTCCGTCCGTGTGTCCGTGCGTCCGTGCGTCTGTGCGTCTGTGCGTCCGTGCGTCCGTGCGTCCGTCCGGAGTCATATCTCAGAATCCCTTGGACCGATTCCGTTCATTCTTTGCATGTGCCTAGTACTTTATGTGGGACATATGCACATGCAGTGGTTTAGCGATTCGATTCAAAATGGCCGACTGGCAGCCATCTTGTTTTTTGAAAATGTTGTATTTTGGACATGCTTTGTCAGTTTTCATTCAAACTTGGTACATAGATTATACATGTTAGGATACATGTCCATGATGATTTATTTCACAATTGGATCAAAGATGGCCGACTGGCAGCC